GGGGTCCCTGAGTTGACCCCCTGGTCTGCCCCCTACAGGATTGCTTTCCAAAGTCCCTCTGGCTCTGGGCACACCCCAAGTCGCCTCCTGGACTCTAGGAAGAGGAGTGGGGTGAGGCCTCCCCCAAGACACCCATTAAGGAGTCAGAGGGAGCGGGAGGGAGGCCGGCAGGACCCAGGAGGCGGGAATCAGGAGGCAGCCTGAACTAGAGGAGGGCCCTCACTAGGGCGGACCTGGCCAGTCTCCTGCTCCCGACAAAATGACTACGGGTGTCCTTCAGTCCCATGTGCCAAATACTTAAAAAACATTTTTTTTAAAAAAACAACATATATTTTAAATCCTCACCCGAGGACATGTTCATTGGTTTTTAGAGAGAAGGGAAAGGGGGAGGGGTGAGAGAGAGAGAGAGAACATCGATGTGAGAGAGAAAAAACACCGATTGGTTGCCTCCCGAACGCAATCTGAGGGGTCAAACCCTCAAACTAGGCATGCGCCCTGCCCAGGAGCTGGGCCTGAGATCTTTCGTGTGCGGGCGATGCTCAACCAGCTGAGCCACCAGCCAGGTCCAGGGACAACCTGACAACCTGACAGTGGACAGCCCAGGCTGGGAGTCACCCCCTGAGAAGGGCAGTCTGTGCTTGACCCCAGCAGCGAGGCTCTCGGCCCTGCTCGGCCACAGCTGGGCTCGTGGGAGGGGCCAGGCAGGGCTCTCCTCCCCAGCGCTGCTGCCACTTGGGCCATCTTTGTGGGGGTCGCCCCGTGCACCGTGGAGTGTTGGGCTGCGTCACTGGCCTCTACCCACCAGATGCCAGTAGCACTGGCCCCTCAGGCTGTGACACCACAGGTGCAGACACTGCCAGCTGTTTGTGGAGTCAGGGTGAGGGTGGATGGAACTCCCAAGGGTGGCCGGGCACGGTCCAGGATGGAGACCTGGGTGCAGTGGGCAGGAAGGCCACAGGACAGAGGTGGTTTGGGGGACGGGAGACTGAGTCATTTGGGGACCGCTTTGGCAGAAGTAACCAGACCTTCAGAGCCACTGCTGATACTGAGACGGGCATTGGGGCTAAAGTTAGGGTACGGAGTGAGGTGGAACGCGTTAGATGACGGATCTGGAATAGGTTCCCTGAGCTTGTGGGTAGGAGCTGCAGACACACTGTGAGAACCGGGGGTGTGGCCACTGGGGGGACAGGCCTGGGCCTCCCCCAGGTCGAGTATGTCTGCTTCAGTTAATGGTGGGATAGTCTGGTTTCATGATGGAGTTTCCAGACAAAATGTCAATCCTTCCAGACAGAAATGGTCTCCGGGAGGAAACCCTGCCGTGTCTGGTTTGCTTCTAGAACCACAAGGATGATTCTAATGGGGTTCAGGTCGAGTGTGAAGCAGCCAGCGGCCTGGCCCGGCTCCCTGGGGGCCTCTGTGGCCCGGAAGGCCGCTAATGGCGACGGCAGCCACACAGCCAGGGCAGGGCGTGCGTTCTTTCCTCTGAGTTGGCCCAAAGACCCCGAGTGGGGGTATTAAAACTTTCACCGAGTCTCAGAGGGGGCGGCGCCTGCCCCGGGGATGCCCAGGGCCCCCGGCAGAAGTCCAGACCTGGACAGGGGAGGGGGCAGAGGGCGGAGGGCAGACTTACTGATGCCCTGATCTTGCCTGACCCCTGGGCAGGGGCATCCTTCTCACAGAGCCCTCCTGCCCCGCCTTCCCGTTTCCAACCCCACCAAGCCTGGGGGGTGGGTGGGGGGAGGGGGACACTCACTGCAAGGCTGGCTCTCAGGGGCTCTCTCAGCGCCCATGGCCTTCCGGTCAGCCTGGGACAGAAGTCATCGTCAAGGCGAATGTGGTGGCTTTGTCCTGATCCCCTTGTTAGACCAGCGGTGCCAGGGTCCTGGGGTGGGGGCAGAGTGGTTGGGAGATTGCGGAGGGCAGGCCCTCCCTTCTCAAACGCGTATTATGGAAAATTTCAAGTCTATATAAGCACAGAGACCAGGATGGTGAACTATCCGATGCTCTATCCATTGAGCCAAACCAGCAAGAGCAAGAACTTACTTTTTAAAAAATAAAACTACAATACCAGTGTCACATTTACAGTGGAATTAAATCGATGTCCACATTTCCCTGAATGTCTCAAAAACTTTAACAACTGGTTTGTTTGAATCAAGATCTAAGTAGGAGCTCACACTGCATGTGAGCGACATTGCCACTGTCAGTGTCACATCCCCTCAGTGGATTTGGGGTCTGAGTCCTTGGAACCAGGGGTCTGACGTGACCCACAGCGCCACGCTGGACCCGGGCCCCGCGGAGCAGCGCGCCAGGTCTGGTTTCTGCCTTGGGGAAGTCTTTAGAGCTCACAGGTGAACCACGATGGTGTCTGGAGGCAAGGTGTGGGGGTTCCCTGGCGAGTCCCTATTTGTGGGGACCCTGTTTGCCAACGAGGGTGAGAGCTGTGGGACAGGCACGGGGGCAGCTGGGGACAGTTCTGCCTGGCTTCTGAGGATGAAGGATTCTGCTCCTGGGAGTCCTCAGCTGCTGCCCTGAGTCTGAGAGCAGACTCTTAAAGCTCCTAGACCAGTGGTTCTTAACCTTTTGGCCCTTTAAATACAGTTCCTCATGTTGTGACCCAACCATAAAATTATTTTCGTTGCTACTTCATAACTGTAATGTTGCTACTGTTATGAATCGTAATGTAAATATCTGATATGCAGGATGGTCTTAGGTGACCCCTGTGAAAGGGTCGTTCGACCGCCAAAGGAGTCGAGACCCACAGGTTGAGAACCGCTGTCCTAGACAATTTCGAAGGAGCAGTGGTGAGCTGGGGCTGGCGCGGACCAGTTCACGGAGTCTACTGGCTAATCCTCAGGATCGTTTCTTGGTTTTGACTTGCAAGCCATTATTAAAAAATTATAAATATTTACAATTAATTTTGTTAAAAACAAAGAGGATACTTGCCTGGCCAGGGTGGCTCAGTGGTTGGGCATCAACCTATGAACCAGGAGGTCATGGTTCCATTCCTGGTCAGGGCACATGTCAGTCCCCAGTGTGGGGCGTGCAGTAGGCAACTGATCAATGGTTCTCTCATTGATGTATCTTTCTCCCTCCCTCTCCCTTCCTCTCTGAAATCAATAAAAATATAAAGAGTAGACTCAAAACTCATTCCTTCCTAATTGCTTGCTTACATTTTACAAGTATATGCTCTGGAGGTGAATTAACTGCATCTGGACAGTGTGCATCAACTTCCCAAGTTGGTGTCGGGTGACCTCACGTGGGAACTGGCATATGCTACCCGGCAGGGCTTCCCCGCCTGGAGAGATGCGTTCAACACTGACCAGCACACCACTGCCCCGGAGTCCCGTTTCCGCCTCCCCTGGATCAAGGCCGCTCGCTCGCTCTGTAAATCTCTTTCAATCATCTGACCCTTTCCGTGCCAAGCGGTGCCCGACGAGCCTCATCCGGGGGAAGGGGCAGGGCCATTGTGGGAGGCAGTGGTTGGAGGTGAAGAGAAAGCCACAACCACAAACCCGATCGCCCCTCTATCCCTATCGGGGAGAAAGGCGTGCAGCTTACTGAGATGTGCCTGGACTTAATGGAGAGGAGCGCGGGCAGAGGCCATGTGTCTGGACTGGCGAGGGTGCACTGTTTTCCTCCTGGAAGGGAAAGTGCTGTTACAATGGAGCCGTCACCCGCAGGGTGGCCCCCAGTCGCCGCTGACCCTGCTGCACCCTGGGGACCACGAAGCCTGCTGGGCCACCCCCCCAGGGGGCCAGCGCACTGTGACCCCTCCTCCCGCCTGGCCACTGTCCGATTTATGATAACTGCTCGTGTTCTTCAAACTGGGGCGTCCAAGATTGCCCTGGAGTGTGGGAAGGAAAAGGGAACTAGTTTGTTTTTATTTAAAAAATACGATTGCCCTAGCTGGTTTGGCTCAGTGGATAGAGCGTTGGCCTGTGGAATGCAGGGTCCTGGGTTTGATTCTGGTCAAGGCCATGTACCTTGGTTGCAGCCTCTTTCCCGGCTCTGTCCCTGGTCAGGGCTCATGCAGGAGACAACCAATCGATGTGTTTCTTTCACATCGATGTTTCTCTCTGTCTTTCTCTCTCTCCCTCTTCCACTCTCCCTAAAAAAAAAAAAAAAAAAAAAAAAAAAAAAAATCAATGGAAAAATATCCTCGGATGAGGATTAACAAAAAACAAAAAAAATTTGTTCTATCAATTGTGTGGCCCGGGTCAGCCACCTCCTTGGATAGAGAAACACTTTCATTTTTGTAACCCCAAAGGCCATATCAGGATCAGGTAAGTGCAGGGGCTCCACAAATAGATGCTGAAATACAAACTACTCCTTACTTTCCGGGGACTCAAGGCCTCTCCCTCTCTCCTCCCTTCTGGTGGAGGAGTCAGGTCGGATCACAGATAGTCAAGGCTCACAGACGCACAAAGGGCCTCTGCCGTAGGGGGCGGGGCTTTTGGAGAAGCAACTGGGGCTGCTGGGGTCTGCCTCCTCCGGTTCCCCTCCCTCTGCTGTGGCTTCTGCTCGGACGGGACACTAGTCCTCAGGAGCTCAAGGTCGTCAAAGGAATGACTCACGATCAAGGCTGGGGAAAGTGGACCCTGACTCTCCAGAACAAGCCCTGGCACTCCTTAGCCATCACGGCTCGGTGGGCATGGCTGAGGGAAGCTGGAGTGGGGGCAGGGGCGGGCGTAGGCCGGTATCTGAACACCACCCAACCTGGCCTCTTGGTCAACAGCTGCGGACACCTGTGACCCTGAGGGATGGGGACAGATGACATTATGTGTCTTCTAAGCTGTTACCCAGAACGACACACTTCACAGGTTCCCTATGTTCCTGTCCTCTCCCGCCACCAGCGTCAGAGGAACCCGCAACTTGGGTGTGTGTAGTGAGAACGCCGTGTCCTGCTCAGTTTGGCCTGTTTCTGAGCTCCAGTCTTCTGGAACCCGCTCCTTTTACCCAGCTTTCTCCCTTTAAGTTATCCACAGGAACAGCACAGCTTATTTTCTGTTCCACAATGAATTTTATTTTATTTAGGAAAGCGACATACAATCCTGGGTATGTCCGAGTGCAGCGCGTGGAAAGACAGGAAAGACACTGGGCTACCGTGGGCCGGCTTCTGCCTCTGGACGTGGGGCCTCACTGACAGGGTTGCTTCGGCATCGGGAACACTTGGCAGAACCCAGTCTGTGGCTGCCTCTGCCGTTTCAGCAGGCGTTTTGTGGGTTTCATCTCCATTGTTCACTCATTTGATAAATATGACAGGGATTGTGCTGAGGACACAAAGGGGAACAAGAAACACTCCCTGCCCACAGGGGCTCACAATCTAACAGTGAGGCCCAGAAGTAAACAGTCGGCACAATACAGAGTGGCAAGTCTTCTGTGCAAGCTCATTGTGGTGCGGGCACGGCAGGACGCCACCTGACACGCCTGCCACGGCTGTGGGGAGACCAGGAAGCCGAGGAGGTGTGTCTGCCAGGAAACACAAAGACCCCCCTGGCCCAAGTCTGACCCTTCTGTCAACACCTTGTTCAAGTCCCTCATCTACCTGCCCTGCCTCCTCTTGGGAAGTTCACTATCTCACGGCCTGTTCCAGTCACAAGTCACTTTGCACAGGTGGCTCGTTTCCACACGTGCACCTTACACCAGGCTGCCGGCTCCCCGAGAACCAAGTCTTTTTACACGGCACCTATGACTACGCGGTAGACAGAGAGGCTGCCCAGGGAACCCGGGCTGGGAGTGACGACGAGGAAGGCTGCAGTAAGTGAAAAGGGTCTGGGCCCTGGCCGGTGTGGCTCAGCTGGGTGAGCGCTGTCCTGTGCACCGAAAGGTTGCAGGTTTGATTCCCAGTCAGGGCACATACCCGGGGTTGCGGGTTTGATCCCCAGTTGGGGTGCGTGCAGGCGGCAACGGATTGATGCTTCTCTCTCACATCAAAGTGTGGGGTTTTTTTCTTCCTCTCTCTCTCCCTTCCTTCCTCTTTCTAAAAATCAATAAAAATATATTTAAAAAAAGGAAAAAAGAAAAGGGTCTGGGATAAACAAAGAAGTTATACAGAGAAAGCATACCTACTAGGCTGCTGCTCGGACTAGAACACTCAGAATACTTCTACTTATAAATGCAAAAACTCAAACCACAAACAGTTCTCTTGACAGCACAACTGTTTGAAAGAAACAATCAAACAGTATTTCATAGCAAACAAAAGCTAGGCAGTAACCGCACACTCCCCCACTGAACACACTGGGAACCGCGGCCCTGCGGCCGGCCACGGGCTCAGTCGAACGTGATCCGGAAGCTGCGCTCCTGCTCCTTGCGCCGCCCCTCGCACACCTTGGTCACCTCCTCCACCTTCCTCTGCAGCAGGGCCGAGTTCTGGTCGATCCACTGCAGGGAGTCCATGTGCGCGTTGAGGATCTTGCAGATCTGCTGCAGCGGGTCGCTGGTGTCGGCGGGGCCCCCGGACGTGTTCAGGTGCTCGATGATGTCCTTGAGGTCCTGGGCCATGCGCTTCAGCTGGGCGTCGATGTTCTCGGCCAGCTTGTAGGTCTTCTCGCGCTCCTCGTCGGCGTGCTGCAGGTAGACGGTCCCGCTCTGCTCCTTGACGGACTCCTCCAGAGGGCTCAGCAGGTCCTCCAGCTCCTTCTGCTGCGACAGGATGAAGTCCAGCTCTTGGTCCAGCCTCTTCTGGTCCAGCTTCACCTTCTCCACCTCGCGGTGGAGGGCGGTGATCTTCTCCCCGTTCTCGATCAGCGTGCGGTCCCAGGCGTTGACCTGGGTGGCCTGCTGCAGGAAGTGCCGCTCCTGGTCCTCCAGCTCCAGGCTCCACTTGTTGATCAGACTCTCCAGCTGGGCGTAGGTCATCACGGGACTGGTGGACACCCCAGTGGCTGCACTGGGGCCAGACGGGGCGGTTATGGCAGTGGGCGCATTGCTGGGGATCCCGGCTGGTGCCAGGGGTTTTAGATTCAAGGAGAAGCTGCTGGTGCTGGTGGTGGTGGCGGCGGTGGATGTCGCTGTGGACGCGGTGGGAGCTGCTCCAGGACCCTTTAGGCTGAAGCCCAGCATTCCAGACCCAGACGTTCCAGCGGTGGTTGCTGGGGCACCAAGGGAGAGCCCGGTGGCAGCAGACGAGGTTGGAGCAGTAGCCAGAGAAGCAAAGAGTGTGGGTCCAGCACTGGTGGTGGCAGCAGTGGGCGCGGGAGCAGCTGGCTGTGTGGTTCCTGCTCCAGTGGCTGCCGGTGTGGCTGGAGTGAAGGCCAACCCAGCAAGTGTCGTGGGCTGGGCCGAACTCCCCATGGAGCCAATACTGAAACTGGAGGTCCCCCCAGCCTGGGTCGTGCCTCCACCTGTGAACGAGAAGCCCCCGGGTGTGGTAGATGGAGCAGAAGAGGTGGCGGTGGAGCCGAACACAAAGCCGGTGGGTGCTGTGCCCTGGCTGGAGGTGACGGCGCTGGAGATGGCGTTGGTGAGGGTGCTGCTCCCGAGCCCGAAGCCAGTGGGCTGTGCTGTGGCTGGGGTGGCAGCTGCATTGCCCAAGTTTAGCTTTGGGGTGCTGATCCCTAAGGAAAACCCAGTGCCTCCAGTAGCAGGAGTTGTGGTTCCAAAACTGAATCCTGAGGTCTGTGCTGCTGGCGTTTGGGTAGGGAGTGAGAACAGGCTGGTAGAAGGGGTGCTCGCAGTGGGCTGGGCGGGAGCCCCAAAATTAAACCCGCCAGTGCCAGACGTAGAGAAAGAAAACCCGGTGGCAGGGGTGGTTGTTGCTGTCTTTGCAGTGCCAAATGTGAACCCGCCTGTGGGGGCCCCAGTGCCTCCAAAATTAAACCCGCTCATGGCTCCAGACTCCGGTGGCAGCAGCTACTCCAGCTCCCAAAGCAAATCGTCAGCGTCGTCCGCAACCTTGGGAAGATTTTTAAAGCAGAGGAAGTGACATGGTCAGATGGCAGTTTTGGAAAGACAACCTCACTGGCACGGGCGCGGTTTGGAGAGCGGCGGGGACGGACGGTCCTAATGAGGCCACTCTCCTCTTCCTGACCGGCCCTACGTCAGCTAGGAAAGGCGGAGTGGGGCTCGGCGCTGGGAGAGAGAGTGCTTGGACCTGCGTGTACTCAGCAGAGCAGGAGCCCCACGGCCACGGGGAGTCCAAGGGCAGGCACCTGAACTGACCTCAGTCCCGGAGGAGGCAGCCAGATTCCAGGAGCTTCTCCCGAACGGGACCCGAAGCACACCCAGCTCCACCTGAAGGATCTGCTCCCCAGGTTTCCCTGCTGCCGGCTGGAAGGGGGGGGAGGAAGTGGGTAGAGTGTGCCTTCTTGAGCGGCCTTCTGGATCTCAAGAAACAGGCCCTGGAAAGCTGAGCTCTATGGTAGGGCTCCATCCATGCGCATCCCTCATCATTTAGGAGGACAGAGGGCAGGTTGGAGCAACCCCCACCTTCCTTCTAACTAAGGGGCGGGCATGAAACCCAAGGGCTCAGTCAGAGGGCTTGAAGGCGCAGTCCTTCAGCCGATCAATGATTCTCTCTCAGCAAGGATGTTTCTATCTCTCTCCCTCCCTCCCATGCTGGCACCCAGCTCTCCTCTCTGAAAGAAAAAAAAGAACGAATGCAGTTGGGAAGCAGAAAGTGTCTGACAAAAGTGAGGCGTGACCTGTGACTCCTTAGCGCTCCAATCTCAAACAAGGGACAGCAAACCTCTCTGAGGCTCAGTTCCCTCAGCGGGAAAGCGGGGTAGCAGCTACTGCGCTCAAGTGTAGCGAATGGTTGGGCACTAGTTAGGGCGCTCTGTTGCGGTCAAGCGGAAAGAAGTTAACTAGAAGAGGACGCTCTGCCGGGAGAAGGCGTGAGCCTGCACGCAGGCCGCGTCAGAACAAAGTCTTGCATGCGAGACTTATTGTTCCGAGGCAGAACTTTCCTTGACGTGATGAATAGTCCATGAAGGCATAGAAAGTTCAGGGGAGGGTGCACTGCTGCAGGTGGAAAGAGTCTTTGTATAATATAGGAAATTAATAGTGTAATGTATAACTTAGCTTTGATGATTTCATAAAGCATGTTTGTTAATCATTGTCACTTGCTGTACCCCATTGTTAATCATTGTCACTTGCTGTACTCCATTGTTATTTGCTGTGCTCACCCCCAATAAAAGCCATAAGGAATCAGAGGATCTTTGCTATTCGCCTGAGCGAGCGGTAGCCCTCTGCTTCTCCGTATCCTGTCGTCCGACTCATCTCTGCGCCTCCGTTCACCAAGAACATCAATACGCTCACTGCCACTGCTGCCAGGCACAGGCACATGCCCACATTTCCACTCTGGGGAGAGCCCCTGGGGGCTGGTGAGGAAGGAGGACTGTGCAGTGAGCGGATAACTCAGCAGCAGGGACTGTGAACACCCAGAAGACAACATGTGGGTTGTGGCTGACCTCAAGTTTAATACGAATTCACGGTCCAGCTGCCACTGCTCAGCGGGCCCTCTGGCTGCATGACGAGAGTACCAGTTCCAACGCAGAGACGGGATTTCCAGGCAGCTAACCGCAGCCCCAACAGCTGTGTGTGCCCAGCCCTGTGCTACCCACACTCGTCAGCTGGACCCTCAGCTAACTTCCCAATCATCCTACCAGGGAGGCTGAGAAGACAGCCCCAGGGCACAGATGGGGGAAGAGAGGCTCAGGTTAAAGTAATTTGTCAACCCTCATCCCACTGTAGCTGCCCCTCCCCGACTCCCACCTCGCCCTCTGCCTTCCTCCAAGAACCCTATTTTTTTTTTTTTTTGCCAGGTCTCTCCTCCACACAGCCATGTGCTTCTGGAAAGAGGACCCCACGGCTGCCCATGCTCCTGGTGGGTCTGCTCAGTCTAAGCAGATCTCAATAGGCTGCCCATTAGCACCTCCTGGGAGCATTCAAAAGGTACACGGGCCCTGGCTGGGTAGCTCAGTTGGTTAGAGAATCATCCCGCTACACCAAGGTTATGGGTTACATCTCCAGTTAGGGCACATACAAGAAGCAACCAATGAATGCATAAACAAATTCACCCCCCCACCCTCTCTCTCAATTCAATTAAAAAAAAAAAATCCAACGCTGCCAGATTAATGATGGATGTCATTCTGGGGCAGGATCCTGGCCTTGACATTTTTACAAAGCTCTCCTGGGGGCTTCAGAGCAAGGCCTCTTTACCCTCAGGAGGCCGCAGCAAGTGTCTGAGGCCCCAAGCACCCTGGCACCCAGCCCTTCTTGCGTGAGCGCACACACACCTGTCACTGCAGAGCCACCTCAAGCCGGGTCTGTTGTTAGCAGCCACCCACACGTCTCAGTTCCTCAGCTCCTGAGAACTTTAGCTATTAATAAATTGCAGCTAAAGTTCTCCCGAAGAGCATTTATACAAAGGTCTTTGCTTTTTATACTATTAAAAAACTGCAAAAAAACAGTCTTCTACGGGGGCTTGTGGTTTGCCATTTATCAAATGCGTCATTTGTTTCCAACATCCCAGCTGCCAAGGATCTACTGATAATGGCTCACCATGCATTGGTCCAGCCTTCTATGTGTTTAAGATGCCTTATTGTTCACTTGCTCCTGAAAACAGGTCCATTTGGGGCCGGTTCGCTTTACAGACTAGGAGTGAGGCCCAGAGAGGTTACTAAGCCTTGGCCCCCTCTTCAGGGCAGCCAGAGACACGGCAAACATCAGCTTCAATCCCAGGATTGCAGGCAGGGCAGACAGGGCGGGGTCACACGTGGGAGCAGGGACAAGGCTCTCTGGCCCAGGTTCCAGGAAACACATACCTAAGGATGTGGGATCAACCAGAAGATGGGGAGAAAGGGCTGGTGAAAGTGGCTGAAACAGGTGTGCTTCTGGGGCGCTAAATGATTGGTGCGGCTGGAGGGAGCGTGTGCAGTAAAGGGTTCCTCAGCAGGCCCGAGCTGTCCACACCTTGCACATTCCAAACAAAGGACTGGCCCTTGATGGGCTCCTGGGAGGGAACCTCTAAACCAGTGGTTCTCAACCTTCCTAATGCCGCGACCCTTTAATACAGTTCCTCATGTTGTGGTGACCCCCAACCATAAAATTATTTTCGTTGCTACTTCGTAACTGTAATTTTGCTACTGTTATGAATCGTCATGTAAATATCTGATATGCAGGATGTATTTTCATTGTTACAAATTGAATATAATTAAAGCATAGTGATTAATCACAAAAACAATATGTAATTATATATGTGTTTTCCGATGGTCTTAGGCGACCCCTGTGAAAGGGTCGTTTGACTCCCAAAGGGGTCATGACCCACAGGTTGAGAACTGCTGCTCTAAACCCTTAGAGCAAGCATGTCAAACTCGAGGCCAGTGGGCTACAAGCCTCATTTATTTAAATGAGGCATGTGCCAAAACCGGCTTGGCTCAGTGGATAGAGCGTCGGCCTGCGGACTGAAGGGCCCCAGGTTCGATTCCGGTCAAGGGCATGTACCTGGGTTGCGGGCACATCCCCAGTGTGTGCAGGAGGCGGCTGATCGATGTTTCTCTCTCATCGATGTTTCTGTCTCTCTATCTCTCTCCCTTCCTCTCTGTAAAAAATCAATAAAATATATTAAAAAAATAAATAAATAAATGAGGCATGTGACCCGCTGGCTGCGAGTTTGACATGCTTGCCTTAGAGTGTCCTGCCCGACAGAGAGTGTCTTTAAGATGGGGCATTGGGCCCTGACTGGTTTGGCTCAGTGGATAGAGCGTCGGCCTGCGGCGGACTCAAGGGTCCCAGGATCAATTCCAGTCAAGGGCA